AGTAGTCGTAGTCGTAGTCGTAAAGGTAGTAGTAGTAGTAGTAGTAGTAGTAGTAGTAGTAGTAGTAGTAGTAGTAGTAGTAGTAGTAGTAGTAGTAGTAGTAGTAGTAGTAGTAGTAGTAGTAGTAGTAGTAGTAGTAGTAGTAGTAGTAGCAATAGCAGTAGTAGTAGCAGTAGTAGTAGTAGTAGTAGTAGTAGTAGTAGTAGTAGTGGTAGTAGTAGTAGTAGTAGTAGTAGTAGTCGCGTTGGTAGGAGGACTTGGAGTTGGAGTAGAAGTAGTGGTAGTAGTAGTAGTAGTAGTAGTAGTAGTAGTAGTAGTAGTAGTAGTAGTAGTAGTAGTAGTAGTAGTAGTAGTAGTAGTAGTAGTAGTAGTAGTAGTAGTAGTAGTAGTAGTAGTAGTAGTAGTAGTAGTAGTAGTAGTGGTAGTAGTAGTAGCAGTAGTAGTAGTAGTAGTAGTAGTAGTAGTAGTAATCGTAGTAGTCGTATTGGTAGGAGGACTTTGCGTTGGAGTAGGAGTAGGAGTAGAAGTAGGAGGAGGAGGAGGAAGAAGAGGAAGATAAGTAGAAGAGGAGGAGGAGAAAGAGGAGGAGGAGAAAGAGGAGGAGGAGGATGACGACGACGATGCGGACGACGAGGACGAGGGGCGCGTTTAGAACCGTGTCGAGGCCGTGACGCTTGCTCTCCGCGCGCGCTGTTGCTTAGAAGCGGAACGCGCGCGCGAGAGTTTCTGGCATACATGCGGTCGACAACTTCTGGATGAGGGGGCGGAGGCATTCGCTCTCAGCCCTCCGCGGCGGCATTCGGCGGCCGCCTCGACGGCGGCGGCGGCCGCGCCGACGGCGGCGGCAGCGCTGCTGATGGTTACGGTCTGGAAGAATAGAGGGCGGAGGAGGAGGCGGAGGCGGAGGACGACGACGACGACGACGGTGGACGAGGAGGAGGAGGAGAAGGAGGAGGAGGAGGAGGTGGAGGCAGAGGCGGAGGCGGAGGCAGAGGCGGAGGAGGCGGAGGAGGAGGCGGGCGGAAGAGGAGGAGGCGAAGGAGGCGGTGGCAAAGGCGGAGGAGGGGTGGGTGAGGGTACGGTGGAAATTTCAGCTTTGCGTGTCGCGCCGCCAGTTCTGGTCCACCGCGCTTCGGCACGACACGCTGTCCACGTTCCGGCCGCCCTGCGTCCGCGTTCCGCAGATGGGAGCGGCCCGCTGTCCGCTCGCAGTGTATGGCGTGTCGCCAGCGCCGCCGCCGCGACACGCTTTCTAAAAGTTCCTTACCGTGCACGTACATACGATATGTTTCCAAAATTACCCCCAAGGCAACGACCCCCCCGCAGTGCCGCGGCCTCGCCGACGGCGACGACGACGACCACGACGACCACGACGACCACCACGACGACGACCACGTCGACGTCGGCGTCGGCGACGGCGTCGGCGACGGCGACGGCGACGGCAACGGTGACGGCGACGACGACAGCGCGGCGACGGCGACGGCGACGGCGACGGCGGCGGCGGTTGCGGCGGCGGCGACGACGCTGGCGGCGGCGGCGGCGGCCCCCGTAGGACGACTGCGAGGGCCGCGGTGGCGTGTGGCACGGGGCGCGCCAGTGCGGCAGCATGCCCTACGCGGGCTGCTCCCCAGAAGAGCCCGGCGAACTGCGGGGAACCTAGCCGCTGCCGCCGCCGTCGCCGGTGCCGTCGCCGTCGCCGACGTCGCCGTCGCCGACGTCGACATGGTCGCCGTCGCCGTCGTCGTCGCCGCCGCCGCCGCCGCCGTCGGACCCAGACCTGCGGCGTCTTGGATCGAGGGGCCCAGGGAGACGCCAAGAAGTCAGCACAAGCTGCCGGATTCCAAGTGTGGTCTCGTATTGGTTCCCAGCCCTGCTGCGTTGGGTTCTCGTTTTGAACGGAGCACTGTGGTCGCATCTCCTCCTCCCGCCTTCGTCCTCCTCTGCCCCCTCTCAACTACCTGACTGCCACACTGCCTCTTACCTCCATCCTGGCCTGCCTCCTACCTGCCTGCTACTCTGCCTGAGGTCCTCGCCATCCCTGAGGGGCTGCGAACTGCGAAGCTGTCCCCACTCGACGGCTGCCTGGGATTTCCAGCGGAGTGACGCCCCGCCGCAGATTCAGAGTACAGTGCCGTTTTTATACATGTTCCGCGTGCGGATCATGTATAACAAATGCAAGGACTTAGTATTGAAAACAACGATGAGTTCATGCATACATTTATTCATAAATTAAGCATGTAATAAAATCCAATATTTATGAAAATCCTATGTATTATAAACTGCCCTGTAGACCTCGTCACCCCTGGGGTGCTGCGAGCTGCGGAGCCGGAGGCGCTGGGGGGGGGGGTCGCGCCCTTCGCCCCGAGGCGCCGCGCACACCTGCGCACCGGAGCCCAGACGTGCGATGTCTTGACTGTTCCAACACGGGGCTCCCGGAAGTCCCGACAAATTCCCCTGGGCCCGCTTTTCGGGCCGGACGAAAGGGGGGGGAATTGGGAAAGGGGGGGGGGTTACGAAATTCGCTGCATGCAGCTGGTTTCGGCCTCACCGAGGGTCCCAGTCCTCGATACATAGCCGCCTCCGGCGCCAGGAGGCGCCGGTAAAACAAGGCTAGGATCGGGATAAATCGCTCCAGAGCGTTCCAGAGCGCTCTCAGAGCGTTCCGGAACGCTCTGGAGCGGCCGCGGCGCCCAATACATCCTCCAAACCCGCCGATTCTCAGAGATTTCGAGTTATCCCGATCCGATTTTGTCCCGATCTTCGCGTCGTTTTAGCCGGGAAAATCAGCTGCGTGGGCTGATTCTCAAGTTCCCCCTTTGCTATCCCCCCCCTCTTTCGCCCGACCCGAGCTCTGCGGTCGCGGGGCCCAGCGAGGGCCCCATGGGGTCCGGAGGCTGCGACGAACCTCCGTGCTGGTTTTCCACGCCGTTGCTCTTGGCCTTCCCGATGGAATCCGAGCAGATGTCGGGGGCGGAAAAGAGGAGGGTGATGACTTGGGGGGGGTGGATCTCATGGCGGGGGCCATGATATTTCCCCAGATGTCATGGCGCCTCTTCTTATTTCATTACGTCCCTGCCCCCCCCGCTGGGCCGCGCACATGCCGCCGGTCATGATTTGCACCCCCCCTCTTGGACACCCCCTTCTTGGCCGCTCCCGAAGATGGGGTCGGTGGATCGCTCCGCATCGCCGATGCGGCTCTCTATGCGGAGCTCGATCTTCTTCACGCAGGAACTGCCTGGGTTCACCCTCATGTATGCGGTAGCAGATCAGGGGAGCCTTGTACACCCTCGCAATTTCGTCTTGAGCGTCGATTAGCGCAGGTTAGCGTCTGGGAGTCGATGAGATAGCGCCACTTTGGCGTCGGTTTGCGTCGATTAGCGTCGATTTGGCGTCGATTAGCGTCGACTAGCGTCGATTAGCGCCGATGTGCAAAAGCCGACAAGATGGTATGGGAGGCTCCCATGATTTGCCACCGCGCATGTATCTGCATCGACCTTCATTTCTCAGGGGCTGATCCCCGCAAGGCGATTGGCGAAAAATCGTCAAGCCCTAACTTAGAGACTCCGCATCGACGAACAACGAACGACGACGACGACGACGACGACGACGACGACGACGACGACGACGACGACGACGACGGCGACGGCGACGACGATGACGACGACGGCGGCGACGACGACGGCGACGGCGACGACGACGACGACGACGACGACGATGACGACGGCGGCGACGACGGCGACGGCAACGGCGACGACGACGACGACGACGACGACGACGACGACGACGACGACGACGACGACGACGACGACGGCGGCAGCAGCGACGGCGGCGACCGTGTCGGCGACGCGACGGCGACGACGGCACCCGCCAGTGGCACGAGCTCGGGCGGCGGCGGGGGCGGGCTGGGTCGCGGCGGGGCAGGCGACGCGGTGCAGCAGGCGCGGCCGCCGACCTGCTCGTCCATGGAGGCGCGGCGCCGCGCGAGAGATGGCGGGTTAAGTTGCAGGGCTCGTTTCGATTCCTCCAATTCGATTCGATTCGACTTCGACGGATTCCGATTCCGGTTCGATTCGACTTGGGCTTCCGATTTGGATTCCGATTTCATATGGGGGGCGTACTAGCCTGCCGATTTCCGCCGATTCGATTTTTCCCGATTCGGCTGCCGATTTCCGCCGATCCGATTCATGTCGATTGCCGCTCCGATTTATCGATTCGATTCTGGGCTCGCCTGGGGGGGGTAAGGGTTAAGTCGGGCATGTCCCTCCCTCTACAGGAGGAATATCCAAGAGTAGCCAACAAATAATATGGAGGGGTTATTTTATTATTGTTTGACTATGTTGGATTGTGGTTTGATTATTTTTTTGTCCTCCAAATTCCGCTTGGAGGAGGATGTGCCCGACCTACGGGAAGGGGCAGGTCGCTGTTCAGGGCGAGGAGAGGGGGAGGGGAGGGGGACGGGACGGAGGGCTTAGAGGAATTGCTGCACGTGGAAAAAGCAGGGGCAATGATGGTACCGTCGATAGGTTGCACCCATTCAGAGCCGTTGAGCTGATCTGGCTCCATCTGAAAGTCACCGTTGATGACGAAGGGCATGTTCGCTAGCTTGACGGCCTCTCCCACTGCCTGAAGAATGGCCCGGTTGCGAGGGCCTAGCTGCTCTCCATCGTGTAGACAGAGATTGATCCAAAGAAAACCCCCTGGCAGCAGACCAGAGGCGTGCAATACAGTGGCCCTGCCTGCTGCAATGGTGACAGGCAAATGCTCCACCTCGGCGAGCCCTTGAGCAGTATGCATTGCCTGCAGAAGACCGCCACTGTTGCCGCCCCGCCCTGTGACGACCGCTGGCTCCAGCCGAGCACGCCAGCCGATCTTGCGACGCCGAGACTCGCATGCAGCACACTGATCTTGATCCACATGGTGCTCTTGAATGGCTAAGGCATCACAGGCACGCGTGGTGGCATGCTCAATCACGGCCTCCATGCCAGGGAGACCTGTCACGTTATTGGTTATCATTCGCCATGGACGAGGCACATCAGGACTGCTGCTTCGCTTCTTCACCCGACGCGGAGGAAGAGGTGTCTGCACGCAACTTCTTGAGGGCCTGATCCCGAACGTTGTTGAAGATGTCTGCAACGAGCGTGTGCTTGACGCCATGCTTGTCTCCAAGGTCGGTGGCCAGCTGACTGTCCTCAGCGCCGTTGGTGGCGAGGTACTCGAGGAGCTCCTGATGAGCTTGCTGGGCACGTGCTTGAGCGGCGACGGCGTCTGGTGTAGGAGGTGCTGCGGCTGCGGACACAGGCTCGTCACGAGGGGCGGCGGCTGGCCGAGCTGCACCGGGAGGAGGATCACCAACAGCAGCGGGAGCAGGAGCCTCCACCTGGGCAGGCAGGGCCGCTTGCAGAACTGGGACCACTCCTGCCAGCGCGGCGGCCACCTGCTTGAGCGGCTCGGACTGCTCGAGCGTCGCCACGAGCTGCATGAGCTGGCCGAGCGGGTCGGCGGGCGGCGCCAGCGTGGCGTAGGCGGCAGCGGCGCGAGCGGCCGCCTCACGCTCCGCTTGCTCTGCCGCAGCCAGCTCAGCCTTGAGCTTCGCCGCGTTCGCCACCGCCTTGACCACTGCTTCCTGAGCGCGGTCGTACGCCTTCTGCGCCTTGATCGTCTTGTCCGAGGCCGAGTCCTGATCAATCCTGGCAGCCTTGGCACTGGCTGTCGGTTCATGATTGTCGATGTCCCGCTGCACCTTGATCTTGGCAATGAGCTTGGGTGGCCATCCCTCAGCGACCGTGTCGAAGTCTGAAGGGGGCATGCGTCATACATCTTGATCTGCTCTTCAGAAAGGTGGGGGACACGAGGAGCCGCAGGCTTGGGTGGACCTTGGACCCACGCACCGAGCTCGCGCTTACTGGGCTCACCACCTTGAGCACTCTGCGGCTGCCCAGGGAGACGCCCTGGCTTCCACCCACACTTGTAACAACTCGACCTCGAGGCATAGATATGCTGGAACCCACAACGCTTGTTCCCACACGCCCAGCGAGAGAGATCTGCCATGCGCCTGGCGTGATTGGTTCGCAAAGGGGTGCGGGCTGGCGCCGCAGTACTGTATCAAACTGGAGTCTGGCAGTGTGCCAGGGTAACAGTCGGGGGCCGCTGGATCCCCCACGCCAAAAAGGGCAAGCCTCGAGCGAAACACTACGGACTTGAGCCAAAATGGCTACGGAATCCTCCTCCTTCTCCTCCTCCTCCTCCTCCTCCTCCTCCTCCTACGCCAGGGGACGTCGAGACCCTTGCTGGCCTCTATGCTAAGTGCTGGACGCTGTCAAGGCCGCCGACGGCAAGTACGCTGCCAAGAGTAGGGCGGATTGGTCGGCGTGGCTGCACGTTGGATTGGTCTCGGGAGCCAGGAGAGTGCAATTTTATTGAGGATCCCGCTCCCTGGAGCCCCTCCTCCACCCTCTCCTCCGACGGGTGCATCCTTAGTGATCCTCTCTCCCTCCTGCAGTCGGAAGGGGATAGGTTCAAGGCCCGCTGGGGTCAAGGAGTGGGGGCACAGCCGGACGGGATGTTGTCTGACCCCCTTTCCCTCGTCTTACCGTGGATGATATTCGGAGCATTTCGAAGTCCTACCGAGAGGCTTCGGCGGTGTCGGCTGATGGCTTCCACTGCCGCCACTTCTCCCCTCTTTCGGACAGTGCGCTCGAAGTGCTCAGCTCGACTTTCGCTGTGATGGAGGCTGTCGGGTGCCTCCCTCCCCAGATTTCAGGGGTTCGTCTTGCTCTCCTGCCCAAGCAGGCTGGCAGCTACAGACCGATTAGGGTGTTGTGCCCTTGGTTTAGGGACTGGGGCCGCTGCAGCCCCATGGCACTGGACTGGGAGCAGGAACTCCCCAGTAGGTACTGGGCCGCTGGCCAATTTAGGGGGGCGACTGACGTGTGACGTGGTGTGGCGTCAGGCTCTCGCTGCCGAGAGCGGGCTGGCCAAAGGGAAGGCCTCATGAAGCGCGCTCTTTGACCTCCGGATGTTTTGCGAGAGTATCAGCCTGTCTGAACTGGCCGCGAGATGCACGAAACCCTGCTTTCCTTTCGTCATCGCCCGCTTGTGCATTTATGCTTACCGAGGCGGCAGGTTTCTGTGTCTTGGGGGCTGGCTGGTGGGGCCTTCTGTAACATCTGCGTCAATGGAGTCATTGCTGGCTGCTCCACGGCGACTTTTTTCATGCGGGTTTTTGCCAGGACGGTTATGACTCTTTCACTCCTCGTCGCAATCTCGAATTCGACGTCTACATAGATGATCAAGGGCTGTCGTGCACCGACCTGCCCCATCGGATGGCCAAGGCGGTCGTCAGCGGAGCCCGGGAGCTACAGTCGGCGGTCGAGCATGTTTTCGGTCGTTCTTTCGCTTTGGACAAATCTGTTGTTGTGGCGTCCTCTGAAGAGCTAGGGGTCAGCATCTCGTCGCAGCTTCAGGCTCTTGGAGGCAAGTTCACGGATAGTGCGGTCAACCGTGGCATTTACTATATTCAGGAGGGAAAACCACACATGAAACATGAATCGTCGTTTCCCCCGAAAAATATGGGAAAATATGGGAAGTGGGGTGAAAGACTGAAACCCAGAAAATATATGATACGATAGTGTATCCTGTTTCTTGTGTTTATATATTTGTGTGTCCCAGAGCCCCTTCATATACGGCCGGCCGCGCTGTTAGGGTTGCTGGCCGGACGGCCAAGACGAAAGCTCCAGTGGCGAATGTTGCCCGTTGTTCCCGCCGGTTTGAAAAGCAAAATATCGCATTCTCAACAGGCCTGCGGTGCTCAGGGTCTTCTCGTCTGGGCCTCTCGCAGGGGCGTCCGACGGGTCCAAGGTCACAGGCACGAGCGATCGAGACCTCTTGTTTCTTCGGCGGAAGACGTTTTCATGTGTCAGGCCGCGCTCGCAGCTCCAGCCGACGGCCGCCACTTTAAAACAGAAAAAGCGTGTTCTACCGCTGCTGGCGGAAAACCGGGGGGGTGTCACTGGGGGGTCCCAACCCGTCCCCCTCCCCCCCCTCGAAAACCGAGGGGGGGGGGTCACTACCGGTTCGACCCCCCCCCCCAACTTATCATGAAAAACGAGGGGGGTCATTACCGGTTCGAACACCCCCTCCCCCCCCTCGAAAACGGAGGGGGTCACTACTACAGTTCGAACCCCACCCCTTCGCCGCGGGCAAACGATTCCCGCTCCTCGGGACAGATGGACAGTGGTGGGCCACCTGGGACAGTGGTGGGGACGGTGGTGGTGGGGACAGTGGTGTGGGGACAGTGGGACAGTGGTGCGGACAGTGGTGAAGACGGTGGTGGTGGGGACAGTGGTGAGGGGACAGCGGGACAGTGGTGGGAACAATGGGACAGTGGTGGGGGCCTTCCTTTCCCGTTCCTCCCCCCTCCTTTGCCTCCCCCCCCCCACACCCCAACCAAGGGAGGGGGGGGAGGGAAGACGAGGAGGACGAGGAGGGGAGGACGAGAAAGGGGTGGGAACGGGAGAAGGGCGGCAGCGGGAGAGGATGGACGAGGAGGGAAGAGCGGGAGAGGGAGGGACGAGGAATGAAAAAAGGTCCTCCTCCTCCTCCTCCTCCTCCTCCTCCTCCTCCTCCTCCTCCTCTTCCTCACCCTGCACTCCTCCTCCTCCTCCTCCTCCTCCTCCTCCTCCTCCTCACCCTGCACTCCTCCTCCACCTCCTCCTCCTCCTCCTCCTCCTCCTCCTCCTCCTCCTCCTCCTCCTCCTCCTACTCCTCTTCCTCTTCCTCCTCCTCCTTCTCCTCCTCTTCCTCCTCCTCCTCCTCCCTCCTCCTCCTCTTCCTCCTCCTCTTCCTCCTCCTCCTCTTCCTCCTCCTCCTCCTCCTCCTCCTCCCTCCTCCTCCTCATCATCCACCTCCTCCTCATCCTCCACCCCCTCCTCTCCCTCCTTCTCTCTCTCCTCGTCCCCGCGTCGGGCGGCGGTGGCGGGCCGCGAATCTCGCCGGCCCGTGATCGACGAGCGGTCGTCGGTCGTCCGACGTCCGACGTCCGTCGTCGCCGTCGTCGTCGTCGTCGTGATCGTAGATCGTCGATCGTCGTCGTCGCTTGCCCAGGGCCGACGAGCGGTTATCCTCGTCGTCGTTGCTGGAGGAGGAGGAGGAGGAGGAGAATGGAGGAGGAGGAGGAGGGAAGAAGCGAGAGGAGGCAAGAGGAGGGCACTGGGGGGAAGAGAAAGAACAGGGAGCAAGTCAGGGGGCAAAAGGGATAGTGTTCTCCTAAGCAGTTGCGGAAAATGCCCGCTGGCACCGTGTCCGCGACAAGTGTGTTTGCTCTTGTTGTCCACCAAGGGGGCAAGATTTGTTCGCCGGAGGCGGGGCAACCAGCAGACGGCGAGTCACAACACGCACTTCGTTCGCTGGTGTGGAAAAATAGGAGGGATGAGGGAGGGGGCAGGGATGATGATGATGATGATGATGATGATGATGATGATGATGATGATGATGATGATGATGATGATGATGATGATGATGGTGATGGTGATGGTGATGGTGATGATGCTGATGCTGATGCTGATGCTGATGCTGATGCTGATGCTGATGATGATGATGATGATGATGATGATGATGATTATGATGATGATCATGATGATGATGCTGATGACGATGCTGATGCTGATGATGATGATGATGATGATGATGATGATGATGATGATGATGATGATGATGATGATGATGATGATGATACTGATAATGATAATGATAATGATAATGATAATGATTATGATGAGGATGAGGAGGAGGAGGAGGAGGAGGCAAGTGGAGAAGGAGGAGAGGGTGGAGGGAGGAGGAGGGCGAGGAGGAGAGGCTAGGTTACCACTTACTCATATCTGCGCATGTAGAAGAGGAGAAAGGAGGGAGGAGGATGTGGACCTCGACCCCCCTCCCACAGACTCCCACGATCCTCAACCGTCCATCGACAATCAACGATCGACGGTCGACGGCGGCGACGTTAACGAAAGCGAAGACGACAACGACGAGCTGATGGGCCTCGGCGATCTCGACGGCGGCGATGTCGCATTCGCCGTCGCCGCCGTCGCTCGGGCTGACGCCGCCGCCGAGGCCGCCGAGGCATGCGCCGCCGGTCTGTCGCCCATCGCCGCCGCCGTCGGCGACGGCCGCCTTCAAGCAGTGGCAAAGCGTCCTGGCTTGCCTATAGGCCCACCAAAGAATGTTCTGAGAACCGTTTGTGGCTTGAACGACGTCTTCTTGGAACGCTTCTGTCCGAGACTGTCTTGTGTCCAGGCACCGGGCTTACTTGTGCTCTGCGGGCGTTGTCTTCTGGCTCCAAGTGCATGTCGTGGTACAGTCAAAACGTTTCTTAGGGACGGGTGGTAAGGACGCAAGACCCTTGGAGGCCGAAGTTGGATTTTTGGGGCGGGGGGCGGCCAGTGAAAACGGCGACGGACGGGCCGCAGAGGCAAGGACTCAAGGGTACCCTAGATGAAGGCACGCGTCCTTACTAGGCGCGTTGACTGTAGGCCTGTGGGAATGCTGGGACGGCCGGCCCCTGCTCACAGGGTGGTGGCGGGGGGGACCGTCGCGCCCTCGGCGTCTCGCTGTCGCCCTCTCCCGGCGACCCGCCCGCGCCTGCACGACGACGCCGCACGCTGCCCATGCCGACGCCGCACTGCGGAGGCCCAGCAGTCTGGCGCTGCTCCCCTGTGCCCAGCGCCCGACCCCCCCCCTCCTTTCTCCTCCTCCTCCTCCTCCTGCTCCTCCTCCTGCTGCTCCTCCTCCTCCTCCTCCTGCTCCTCCTACTCCTGCTCCTCCTCCTTCTGCTCTTTCTCCTCCTGCTCCTCCTCCTCCTCCTGCTCCTGCTCCTCCTCCTACTGCTCCTCCTCCTCCTGCTCCTCCTCCTCCTGCTCCTCCTCCTCCTCCTCCTCCTCCTCAGCCAGCCTCCTCCTCCCTCCTCCCCCCCGCGCCCAGGAGTGCCAGTGCGACGCGGCGTACCCGATGGTGGCCTACAAGCGGGCCGCCGCTACGGGCGGCAGCGCCGGCCAGGCCACGCCGGGCCTCGCCCTCGGCCGTCGCCGTCGACGCCGTCCCCTGTCGCCGTCGCCGTCGTCGTCGTCGGCGTCGTCGACGCCGTCGCCGTCGCGAGCGACGCCGTGGCCGTCGTCGTCGTCGTCGTCGCCGTCGCCGCCGTCGTCGTCGTCGCCGTCGTCGTCGTTGTCGTCGTCGTCGTCGTCGTCGCCGTCGTCGTCGTCGTCGTCGTCGCCGTCGCCGCCGCCGCCGTCGCCGTCGCCGTCGCCGTCGCCGTCGCCGCCGCCGCCGTCGTCGTCGTCGTCGTCGTCGTCGTCGTCGTCGTCGTCGTCGTCGCCGTCCGTGGAGGTTGCTGTCTTCTGCCGGCGTGGCCGGCTCCGCGAGAGGCCTCGGGGCGGCGGCCCGCGAGCCCGCGTCGGCGTCGCCGCCGTCGGCGGTTGGTCGAGGCCCGAGGCAGCGAGGGTTGCACGGGCGCCGCCGTCGGCCTGACCGCGGGTCCCCCAGGGGCTTGTGGGCTCCCCCCGTCGGTCGAGGCCCGCGGCAGCGAGAGGTGCACGGGCGCCGCCGTCGGCCTGATTGGTGGCCTCAGGAACTTTTCAAGGGAGGCGAAGAAACGTTCCAAGAAAACGGCGTTCAAGGTACAAAAAGTTCTCAGGAACAAGACACACAGGGGGACATAATTGCGTTGGAACAGGCTCGTCTTGAAACACGACGCGGGGGCGCGCCCCATTGACACGACGAGCGTGTTCCTACCAACCCAGGGGCACCAGAAACCCCTCCAGGGAACGAAGCCTTCCCAACCCCCCAACCATCCGGGGTTGGGGGGTTAGAGGGTTGAAGGGGTGGGGGATTGGGGGGTTGGTTGGGGGGTTGGGGGGTTTGGGGGGTTGGGGGGGTCGGGTGGGGGGAGGGAGGGTTGGTCAAGTTAGCCAGCTCGAGCGAGCCAGAGGGCTCCGTCCACTCCCACCCGCCCTCCCACAACATAAGAAGCAAGTGCGTCGCGTCCGACGCCTGTCGCTCACCTTATATCGTGGGTGGCTAGACGTTCAGCACTGGACCGGCGCCGCGGCAGCCGACAACGGCCGGGACGCTACAACGCTGCCGACGCGTAAGGGTGACTTTTCGCCGGGGTGACCTCTTGTGCGCTGCTTTTTGGCCCTCGGGGGGGGCCCTCTTTGCCGCGGCCTGAAGGGTCCAGGGTCCGATTTTGGTTTGATTTGCGCGCACCAAAGGACACTGTTGCCAAAGGTCTCTCTTACGTGGACACGACAACGGGCGCGCCGGCGGCGAACCGCACTTGCTCTAGGCATGATGACTTGCCGCCCGCCCAGCTCCTCAACACGACGGGCCGCAGCGTCGACGACAAGAAAGTCCATGTTGACGAGCAGGCGTCCCCGCGCGATGTGCGCCGCGTCCCATTCCCGCTACGCGATTCGCAGCGCCTCCGAAGAGAAATTACATGTTGGCAAGAAAAACGTCGACATTGCTGTGGTTTTTGGCAGGTAGGGCGGGGGGTCCCGCGTAGGGTTGGCCCGGCGTCCGCGCGCGATGTGCGCCGCGTCCCATTCCCGCTACGCGATTCGCAGCGCCTCCGAAGAGAAAGTCCATGTTGGCAAGAAAAACGTCGACGTTGCTATGTTTTTTGGGCAGGCAAGGCGGGGGGTCCCGCGTAGGGTTGGCCATGCGTCCGCGCGCGATGCGCGCCGTGTCCCATTCATTCCTGCTGCACTCACTGTTCGCAGCGTCGTCGAGAAGAAAGTCCACGTTGACGAGAAAAATATTGACGTTGCATTGCTTTTTGATGGGCAGGACGCGACCACCCGCTTGGGGCCACCCAAGCGATGTTCATTATGTCTCATTCCTGCGGCACTTTTCGCGACTCGACTATATGTTGGCGAGAAAAAATGAGTTTGTGTTGTTTTTTGACAGTGTGGACGGCGGGGCTGCTATCGGCCAGCTAGGTGGGGACGTGGGAGTGTTTAACCATAGGAAGTAAGGCTTGGGATGGGGGAGGCGTTGGGGGTGTTGGGGGTTGGGGGGGTGGCTGGCTGGGGGGGTGCGGGGTTGCGGTGTTTGGGGGCTAGGGGGTTGGAGTGGGAGGTTGGGTGGTTAGGCGGTTGTGGGATTCGTGGTTTGGGGGGTTGACGCAACAAGGCCGCCAACCAACCACCTTCAGATGCAGGAGGCCTCCCGAAACCTCGTGGCTGCTGCCTTCGTGAGGTGGAGGACGAGATGAAGGAGGAGGAGGAGGAGGAGGAAGAGGACATCGAGAAGGAGCAAGTCCCTGGAAACCCTGACTGGCACAACATGTTGAAAAACACCCTGAAGCATTGATTTTTCATCTTCGAGGACGAACAGGAACAGGAACAGGCAGGTGGATGAGGACAACGACAACGACGAGGACGCGAACGAGGCCCTCGTTCGCGTTCTCGTTCTAGCAGCTCGTCCTCGTTACGAGGGCGAGGGAAAGTAGCGAGAACGACGACGTCGATGAGGAGGAGGAGGAGGAGGAGGAGGAGGAGGAAGAGGACAACGACGACGACGGCGACGACGATGAAGACGTCGCGGTTTACGACGACGTGGACGATTGCGAGGACGGGCGACGATGCTACGGACGACGAGGACAACGACGACGACGACGAGGACAACGACGACGACGACGACGACGCTGACGACGACCACGACACTGACCACGACCACGACGACGACTACGACGACCACGACCACGACCACGACCACGACCATGACGACGACGACCACGACGACGACGACGACGACCACCACGACGACGACGACGACGACCACGACGACGATGACGACGACGTCGAGGACAGGGATGATGAGCCCAGCGCATCCCTGGAGGTGACGTGGTCCTGCCTTCCGACCCCGCCGACTCTGCTGAACTCGTCCGGCCCGGCCCTCGGCGGCCGCGGCGGCCGCGCTGCGCGGGGGCGGGGCCGTCCAACAGGTCTGCCGACGGAGGGGGGGGGGGGACCCGGCTCAGGGGGGGTCCAGGCCTCCCACGTGGGGTCCGAGCGGGAATGCATCGGCGATGCGGCTCGATGTGGAGCCCGATTTTCTCCACGCCGACGTCGCCGATGCATCGGCGATGCGGCGTGATCTTCCGAACCCGTCTGCTCGGACCCCATCCGTGGGGCCATCAGGGAGTGAAGCATCGACCCCCAAGCGCCCACATAACCAGGCCGGACGACACGGGTGTGGGGAAAGTGGCGGCTACGAGACTTGCCGCATGCACTTGGTTTCGACCCCACCCCCGGCCGCTTTCCTCGATGCATGGGCTCTCCATCGCCGGAAGATGCCAGAAGCATCAGCTGCGTGAGCTCCTTCGGCACCCCCCCCTCGTGCTATCTCCCCCCTTCGTCCGCACATGCGCTCGTCGCCCCTCGGGGCCTGGAAGCCCCAGCCTTTCCCAGGAGCGCTGGGTGGCCCATCGCAGGTCCACCGGCGATGCTTCTTCGATCTCCAGGTCATTGTTCCCCCCTCCCCCACCCCCTTGGCATCACTCGGACGTGTGCATGTTTCTTTCGGCGAGGACCATCGAGGAGCATCCTCGATCATCTGGCGAAAAAACCACGCACGAAACCGAAAAAAGCACAGGGAATGGACGTCCGAGCGATGGCGAGCCCCTGCACTGCATCAGTCCCCCCCTCGTTCGGCTCCCCTCTGCCCCCCTCTCCGCCAGGCAGGCCCAGGATGAGCATTCTCAGGAGGGAAGGAAACACACAGACACAATGAATCGTCGACTCCCAGGAAAATATGGGAAAATATGGGAAGTGGGGGGAGGGGAAGAAAGAAACCCAGGATATATGGGAAAAATGTGGGGGGATTCCGAAGATTCGTGTGCGTATTTATTTGTGTGCTTGTGGGCCGCAAGATATCTTGCAGGCGCGCCAGCTCCCAGAGATCCCCGAGCTTCACCGAGGGCGTGCCACGACTTGCAAAGCACCTCCTCGCAAGCGTCCGAAAAGCACGTGGTCTCCTCGACGCAAAGCATCGCAGGTCCTCGGCGGCGGATCCAGGCCATTGGCGAGTAGTGACTGTTGCGAGTAGTGGAACGTGCTCGTCTAGAGTTTACCGTTGTGCGGGTTTGTCTTTCTCGCTTTGGCCTCAAGTCGGGCCTGTCCCTCTAGAGGGGGGAAATTCAAACACAGTCGAAACATAGTATGGGGATTATTGTTTTAGTATTTTGGGGCATCTTTTGAGCATTTTGGGTTTTTTTGTTTCATTTGTCGCCCAAAGTCCTCCTGTAGGGGGACAGGCCCGACATCACTTTAGCCTCCCGCCCCTCCTCCGCGTCCTCCTGCGGGCGACCCCGCGGAGGGAGGGAGGGAGGGAGGGAGGGAGGGAGGGAGGAGGAGAGTTTTCTTTCCCGCTCCACGACGGCTCAGATGGCCTCCCAGAAGGTGGCCTCACGGCCTCACATATGCCTCCACCACCGCCAAGCAGCCCCCAAGAGGCCTCTAAGAGGCTTCCCAAGAGAGCCTCAAGAGGCAACAATTGCCCCATTGCCTTCGGAAAACGCATCTAGTTACCATAGTCGCCTCTTCGGCTTTCACAGCGTCCAAGACGGCCCGAGAGGCCCCGAAGATCGTCCCAAGACAGCCCAAGAGGCTACCAAGAGGGCTCCCAGACGGCTCAAGAGGGCCCCCAGACGGCCGAAAGGGGCCCGAGGACGCCCTAAGAAGGGGCCCAGAGGGAGTCCCCGAACAGACATTTGAAGCTCTCCACCCCTAGAGTCACCAGGAGTCCCCAAGGTGCCTCCACAAGGCTGTCCAAGAGGCCCCACGAGTTCCCCTCGAGACCCCAAAGAGGTCCTAAGAGGTTCCCAAACAGCTCCCAGGAAGCCTCACAAGGACCCCAAATTACCCCCCCCCCCCAGGAGGACACGCACACAACACACACACACACATACACACACGCACACACACACAAACCCACACACACACACACGCACGCTTGCTCCAACAAGGGCCAGGGCGCGCACACACACACAACCACAAACACAAACACACACACACACACACATACACACAAGCACACACACACACACACACGCACACACACACACGCACACACACACACACACACAACACACACACACAAACACACACACACACGCACGCTTGCTCCAACAAGGGGCCAGGGCGCGCGCACACACACACACACACACACACACACACACACACACACACACACACCACACACCACACACAACACACACAACACACACACAACACACACACACACGCACACACACACACGCACACACACACACCACAACCACAACCACAACCACAAACACAAACACAAACACACACACACACCCACACACACACACGCGCGCGCACGCGCACGCGCACGCGCACGCACGCATGCACGCACGCACGCGCACGCGCACGCGCACGCGCACGCGCACGCGCGCACACACACACACATACACACATACACACACGCGCGCACGCAACACACACACACACACACGCACACACACAACAACAACAACAACAACAACAACAACAACAACAACAACAACACCAACAACAACAACAACACCAACAACAACCACAACCACAACAACAACAACAACAACATAACACAACACAACAAATCACGACACAAGACAACACAACACAGAAACGCTCCCCCCTATCGATGGGGTTCTGAGGCTCTTCTCCGTTGACCCTTTTCCTTGAAGATGACCTCCTCGTTCCTCTTCGGGCGATTTCCTCATGAGTGCTCTATCAGCCCTGTTGCACGCCTCGTGCGGACGCATGAGGCAGACTTCCCAGAGCACCCCTCCGCCCCTCTGGGGGGGGCCACCATGTTGAGCTGCGTCGGTACCTTCTGGAGGGTTCGAGGGGGCCCTAGGGGAACTATGACACGGGTTCTTAATTTAAGGAGCTCTCAGAACCTCCCGATGGCGCCCACAAGGCTCCCGAGATGCCCCCCCCAAGAACTGTGCGAGTTGGCTTGTCAAGGGCCGGGGCGTGCTAGAACCTAAGCGCGCGCGAAGCGCGTGCGTGTGGTTCCAGGAAGTAGTTGTATATAGACGCATCTGCGTGTGCACGTGCATCTGCTTCTGCAAGTTGTAATGTGTCATGGCTCAACTCGTTTGTGTGAGCACGCTTGCGGCATAGGCAAACAGCAGCAGGACGTCAGGGCAGGGAAGAGAAGAGTAATCAGGATGCTCGCGGAGGGGATGGGAGAGGCGAGGGGAGAGGATAACAGAGGAGAATGGAGGGAAGAGGAGAATAGAGGAGAATAGAGAAGAATGGGGGAGAGGATAATAGAGGAGAATGGAGGATAATAGAGGAGAATAGAGGGGGCGGAGGAGGAGGCGTCGGAGGAGGAGGATGAGGAGGAGGAGGAGAGAGGAGCAAGCCCAACTATGCAACAATGACGCTGCGGCGCGCCCTGCTGCCCCGAGTCGCCCGGTCCAGAATCTCTACACGTGCTCTTTTTCCCAGCGGGCCTGCCGTTCAGGCGAGGCGTCTTAAAAGGATCCACCGTCCATCCTCCGAGCTGCGAGGTGCAGAGAGCTAGGGGAGAAAGTTCTAGGACGTGCTCAGGGAGAGCTCCGTTTTTTTTAGGACCTGTCCTCATACGTGAGGGCGTTGATCAACCTCGAAGTGTATGTCATCAAGGGCGAGGAAGGCTCCAGCGAGAGCCCAACTGATACAAGGAGCCGCCCTCCATCCGTTTAATTGTGACACCAGTTTGAACCCTGGGCCGTCAGATTCGACGAATTCTCAAGTGGGCCCCCGTTTTGAGAAGGAACCGCAGTCCATGTTCACCATTGTTCAATATGTTTAAGACGAGTGCGCGCGGCGACAAGGCCAGAGCTCCATGTTGCAAATCATTGTGCTTCATGAGGTCTCAAGCAGAAAGCCTGGCCCGCCCCAACAACACGTCCAGCTGTGCGACACGGATGAGCTATCGACAAGGAAGAAAAGTCGGGGAGGCTGAGGAAGAGGGAGGGATGGAGTATTGGGTTGACGGATGCAGCGAGAATGAGGAGGAGGAGGAGGAGGAGGAGGAGGAGGAGGAGGAGGGAGGCGACGATTAATAAAGCCGAAGACGTCGACATCGGCTCCGACGCACACGACGATGTCGACGACGCGGATGACGGTTGTTGCAACGACGTCGACGTCGACGACAACGTCGTCATTCATTATGTCCGACGACGACGGCGTGGACGACGGTGATGCCGACGACGGTGTCGTCGGCGCCCTTCGCTGCCTCCCGCGCCAGCCGCCCAGGGCCGCCGAGGGCCTCCGAGAGGGTCCTCCTCCGAGAACGGGGGATTGTGGAGTCCCTGTGGGTCCAAAGCGCGCGCGCGAGGCTTTCGCGCTGAGTTCGCGACTGCTCCTGTGCAGAATCTGCTCTGTGTCGTCCTCCTCATCCTTCTCCTCCTCTTCCTCCTCCGCCTCCTCCTCCTCCTCTTCCCTCTCCTCCGCCTCCTCCCTCTCTGCCTTTTTTTTTCTCCTGGTGTCCCCCCCCAGGAGAAAAACAAAAAAAACAAGTTTTTTTATATTTTTTTTCTTTTTCGGGGGGGGGGGGGGGGTACACCAGGAGAAAGAAAAGGAATGCGGCGTGGTCACATCTGCCCTCCCCCCTAGAAGGATTCCTATTGAACGCCCCCACAAGAAGGATTCACAGTGAAATCCTCGACAGAAAGGTTCCTATCGAAACCCTCCACTGAATGATTCCTACTGAAATCCTCCACATGTGGATTCCTACTGAAACCCTCCACTGAATGATTCCTACTGAAATCCTCGAATGGCAATGGCAATGACAATGGCAATGGTAATGGTAATGGTAATGGTGATGACAGTGGTAATGGTAATGGCACTGGTAATGGTAACGGTAATGATAGTGGTAACGGGGTAGCGATTGGCAATGGCAATGACAATGGCAATGGCAACGGTTATGGTAATGGTATTGGCAATGGCAATGGTAATGGCCATGGCAATGGCCATGGCAATGGTAATGGTAATGGCAATGGCAATGGTAATGGTAATGGTAACGGTAATGGTAAAGGTAATGGTAATGGGAATGGGAATGTGAGTGGGAATGGGAACGGGAACGGGAATAGAAATGATACTGGTAGTGGTAATGTTAATGGTAATGGTAATGGTAATGGTAATGGTAATGGTAATGGTAATGGAAATGGGAATTGTAATGGTAATGGCAGCGGTAATTGTAATGGTAATGGTAATGGTAATGGCAATGGTAATGATAATGGTAATGGTAATGGCAATGGTAATGGTAGTGGCTAATGGCAATGGCAATGGCAATGGTAATGGTAATGACAGTGGTAATGGTACTGGTAATGGTAATGTTAATGGTAATGGTAATGGTAATGGTAACGGGGTAGCGATTGGCAATGACAATGACAATGGCAACGGTAATGGTGATGGCAATGGCAATGGGATTGGCAATGGCAACGGCAATGGCGATGATAATGGCCATGGCAATGGCAACGGCAATGGTAATTGTAATGGCAATGGTAATGATAATGGGAGTGGGAATGGGAACGGGGATGGTGACGGAAATGGGAATGATAAGGGTAAGGGTAAAGGTAAAGGTAGAGGTAAAGGTAATGGTAATGGTAATGGAAATGATAATGGTAATGGTATTGGGAATGGGAACGGGAATGGTATTGGCAATGGCAATGGTAGTGGCCAATGGCATTGGCAACGGCAATGCTAATGGTAATGGTAATGACAGAGGTAATGGTAATGGTATTGGTAATGGTAACGGTAGTGGTAATGGTAACGGGGTAGCGACTGGCAATGGCAGTGACAATGACAATGGCAACGGTAATGGTAATGGCAATGGCAATGGGAATGGCAATGTCAATGGTAATGGCCATGGCAATGGCAATGGCAATGGTATGGTAATGTGAATGGGAATGGGAACGGGAATGGAAATATGAATGGGAACGGGAATTGGAACGGGAACGGGAATGGAAATGGTAGTGGTAGTGGTAACGGAAATGGGAATGGTAAGGGTAAGGGTAAAGGTACAGGTAGAGGTAAAGGTAATGGTAATGGTAATGCTAATTGCAATGGCAGTGGTAATGGTAATGGAAATGGTAATGGTATTGGGAATGGGAATGGGAATCGGAATGGTAATGGTACTGGCAATGGCACTGGTAGTGGCGAATGGCAATGACAATGGTAATGGTAATGGTAATGGTAGTGGCGAATGGCAATTGTAATGGTAGTGGCGAATGGCAATGGCAATTGCAATGGCGATGGTAATGGCAATGGCAGTGGTAATGGTAATGGTTCTGGGAATGGTAATGGTGACGGTAACGGTAATGGTAATGGTAATGGTAATGGCAACGGTAACGGGGTAGCGACTGGCAATGACAATGGCGACGGCAACGGTCATGGTAATGGTAATGGCAATGGCAATGGCAATGGCAATGGCAATGGGAATGGCAACGGCAATGGCAATGGCAATGGTCATGGTCATGGTCATGGTCATGGTCATGGTAATGGTAATGGGGATGGGGATGGGAATGGGAGTGGGAATCGTAGTGGTGATTGGAACGGGAACGGGAATGGAAAGGGTAGTGGTAGTGGTAATGAGAATGGCAATGGTAATTGGAATGGTAATGGTATTGGTAACGGCAATGGTAATGGCAATGGTGATGGGAATGGGAATTGTAATGGTAATGGCAGTGGTAATGGTAATGGCAATGGGAATGGCAATGGTGTTGGTAATGCTAATGGTAATGGCAATGGTATTGGTAGTGGCTAATGGTAATGGGAATGGCAATGGCAATTGTAATGACAGTGGTAATGGTAATGGTACTGGTAATGGTAATGGTAACGGTAATGGTAATGGTAACGGGGTGGCGACTGGCAATGGCAATACAATGGCAATGGCAACGGTATTGGCAAGTGCAATGGGAATGGGAATGGCAATGGCAATGACAATGGCAATTGTAATGGCCATGGTAATTGTAATGGTAAAGTTAATAGTAATGGTAAAGGTAAAGGTAAAGATAAAGGTAAAGGTAATGGTAATGGTAATGGTAATGTGAATGGGAATGGGGATGGGAATGGGAATCCAAATGGTAGTGGTAGTGGCAACGGAAATGGGAATTATAAGGGTAAGGGTACAGGTAAAGGCAAAGGTAAAGGCAAAGGTAAAGGTAAAGGTAAAGGTAATGGTAATGGCAATTGCAATTGCAATGGTAATGGTAATGGTAATGGTAATAGTAATGGCATTGGGAATGGTAATGGGAATTGCAATGGCAATGACAATGGCAATTGTAATGGCCATGGTAATGGTAATGGTAAAGGTAATGGTAATGGTATTGGGAATGGGAATGGGAATGGACTGGCAATGGCAATTGTACCGGTACTGGCAATGGCAATGGTAATGGGAATGGGAATGGGGATGGGAATGGTAATGGTAGTGGTAGTGGTAGTGGCAATGGTAATGGTAATGGTAATATGAATGGTAATGGTAAGGGTAATGATGAGGAGCAACGTGAAATACCTTAAACAAATCGTCTGAAACCCACAGGGACTCCACAATCCCCCGGCCTCCCTCCTCCTCCTCCTCCTCCTCCTCCTCCTCCTCCTCCTCCTCCTCCTCCTCCTCCTCCTCCTCCTCCTCCTCCCCTCCTCCACCTCCTCGTCCCTCCTCCTCTCCTCTCCTCCTCCTCCTCCTCCTCCTCCTCCTCCCCTCCTCCTCCTCCTCCTCCCTCCTCCTCCCTCCTCCTCCTTCTCCTCCTCCTCCTCCTCCTCCTCCCCCTCCTCCTCCTCCTCCTCCTCCTCCTTCCTCCTCTCCTCCCCCTCCTCCTCCTGCTCCTTCTCCTCCTCCTTCTCCTCCTCCGCCGAAAGCACGCGGCGGCGGCGGCACGCGGCGGCGGACGCGCCCCCGATCGGCTGCGGGGCCGCAGGCTGCGGCGCGATCGGCGGCTGGCACGCTGGAAGCGCTCCCGGATCGGTGCGCCCGCGCCTCCTCCATCCTCTCCCTCCTCCTCCTCCTCCTCCTCCTCCTCCTCTCCTCCTCCTCCTCCTCCTCCTCCTCCTCCTCTTCATCCTATTCCTCATATTCCTCCTCCTCCGACTTCTCCCCGCCGCCTTCGCGGCTGCCGCGCCACCGTCGCACAGCAACTCCTCCTCTCTCCTCCGCCTCCTCCTCCTCCTCCTTCTTCTTCTCCTTCTATTATTCCTCTCCTCCTCCTCCTCCTCCTCCTTCTCCTCCTCCTCCTCCTCCTCCTCCTCATTCCTCATATTCCTCTTCCTCCTCCTTCTCCTCGCCGCCGTCGCAGCAACTCCTCCTCTCTCCTCCGCCTCCAGCTCTCCTCCTCCTCCTGGTCCTCCTCCTCCTCCTCCTCCTCCTCCCTCCTCCTCGTCCTCCCTCCTCCTCCTCCTCCTCCTCTCCTCCTCCTCCCTCCTCCTCCTCCTCCTCCTCCTCCTCCTCCTCCTCTTCCTCCTCCTCCTCCTCCTCCTCCTCCTCCTCCTCCTCCTCCTCCTCCTCCCCGCCCCCGCGCCGCCAGCGCCTGCTGTTCGTGGCCGTCGTGGCCGCCGCCGCCGCGGCCGTCGCGGCCGCCGCCGCCGCCGCCGCCGCGGCGTCGCACAGCAACCCCAGCGTGCCAATCTGGCGGCCGCCGAGTGTGCTCTGAAAGTGTTTTCGGCACGGGCGCGAGGTAAATGAAAGTCGTTGCGTTCGTGGAGGACTGATTTTGCGGAGCTCAGCGCCCTGGCGCGAACGGCCGAACGACCCGAAATTCAAGACAATGTGCCGACACGGTGGGCCTCCTCACACAGGCTTGATTTTATGTACGTAGGCTTTTAAGACGTCGCAGCGAACTCGACGAAACTGGTCCTAGAGTTGCACACGGAGCGGAAGGACCTGAAGACGAACGCGGTTCCGCAGACGGGTGGATGGCCAAAGCGTTGCGCACGAGCATTACCGAGAGACACCTGAACCTAAGGCCATGCAGCGCCTCGCAGCGGCTGCGGGGGCATGCAGTACAGGGGCACGAGCAGAACGGTGTTTGGGCGATTTCGTGGACCGCATTTCCCCAAGCAGTGTTTGCACTTAGGGGTTCTTACTTCTTCTCTGAGGAACTGGGCCTGTGCCGGTCTGGCGGATATGTTGCCGCCGTCGCCGTCCCATCGCAGCCTCGTCGTTGCCCGTCGTCTGGGCCTATCTGCCGGTGTGCCGGCTATGTTGCCGCCGTCGCCGCCCACATGTATTGCACACCACACAGATGGCACAAAGACATTGGGCACCACATAGATTGCACAACATGTATTGCACAACATACACTGCACAGCATGGGTTGCACAACATAGGCTGCACAACAGATACCGCACAAGATGGACTGCACATGTACACTGCGATTCACATGTGACTCTACGCATGTTAGCCAGCGAGTGTGGGTCTGGCCAAATATGATGTGCAGTCTATGTGGGGCAGTCTATGTGTAGCAATTTATGGCGTGCAAAATATGTTGTGCAACCGATGTTGTGCAGCCTATGTTGTGCAGTGAGTGTGGTGCGACCTGTCAGGTACAGTATATGTGGTGCAATATTTGTGGTGCAATCTACATTGTGCCCAATCTACGTGGTGCAATATGTGATGCGAAAAACTGGTGTACAATCAATGTTGTGCACTCTATGTGGAACGATCGTTGTGGTGCAACCTGTGTGAACCAATCAGTGTAAAGCAATCCATATTGTGCAACCTATGTCGTGCAAACAGTGTGGTGCAATATGTTGTGAAATACATGTTGTGCATCCTTCGTGATATAATATATGTGGAGCAAACTATGTGGTGCAATCCAGGTTGTGCAATCTATGCTGCGCAGTGCATGTGATGCGATCTATGTGACAAAGTAGATGTTGTGCAATCTACGTCGAGCGATCTATGTGGCACAATGTATGTGGTGCAGTCTGTGTTGCGCAATCTATCTATCTATATATGGTATACAACATACGCCGTGCAACACACGTTGTAATGTATGTGGTGCAATCGATGTGGTTGAGCTATGTGGTGTGAGCTACGTGATGCAATCTATGTGCTGCGAGCCAGCGCACTCGCGTGTGTGGCGCAAGCTACGTGCCCTAAGTTATGTGGTGCATTCTATGTGGTAGTAGTTAACGTGCTCATCTACTTGATGCGAGCTATGTGGCGTAAGCTATGTTGCGCGGTCGATTGCAACCGATTGAGTTGTAATCGATTGGATTGCTATCGATTCGATTGCAATCGATTGGATTGCAGTCGTGTGTTATATGTGGTGCAGTCTATGTGGTGGCGTCTGTGTTTTGCAATCGATTGCAAGCGATTGCATTGCAACCGACTGGATTGCAATGCTCAACAAGGCCCAGGGCACTAGCGGCGACGGGGCGGCGACGGCGGAAGCCGACACACGGGCCAACCGGCCCAGGCGGGCGGCGACGAGGCGACGACGGGGCGGCGACGGCGACCACACAGCCACCAGACCTGCCAACCTTCCCAGTTCCTTTGACAGAAGAACCCCTAAGTGCGAGCATTACTTGGGGAAGATTGCACAATCTAGATTGGACCACACAGATTGCACCATATAGACTGCACCACATAGAGTGGCCAACAGAGTGCACATAATAGAGTGTACAACGTAGGTTGCACAACATAGATTTCACCACATATAATGCACCACGTAGATCGCACAGCGTACATTGCACCACGTCGATTGCTCCACATATGTTGCACCACACTGAATCCAAAAAAGAAGGAACGAATTGCACACGCGTGCGTCGTCGCGTGCGCATTAGGTTTCGCACGGATTTCAAAATCGCGTGCCCCGGAACATATACAAACACGTGGTTTCCCAATGAGAATTTTTAAAAGAGTGTGCGTTCGTGCTCCGGCAAATTCTTAGGACAACCGTTGGTTTTTCGTTCCAACATGTTCTTCAAATGCTACCAAACGTGCCCCTCGCGCGCGCATGCCGAAATCGCTCGAACGCCTTTTCGCGCGTGCTGTTGCAATAACCACTTGCAAAGAACGGGGCGAAGTGCACACACACACAAACACACACACACACACACACACGCGTCGTCGCGCTCGCATGCGGGAATCCTTCACAAACAATGGGAGTCGTAAGAATTTCAAAATCGAGTGCCCCGAAATGCAAATACATACACATGGTTTTGAAACATGCCTGCGCTCGCCCTGCTGCGAATTCTTCAGGAAACCTTCTGTTTGTTCAACATGTTTATTATCTTCTGCCAAGCGGGTTGGCCGCGCTGCATGTCGAAATCGTTCGAAGGCCCTTGCGAGCGTGCTGAGGGGGGCACAATCCGTGACAACTAATACCCCGCGGGCCACTCCCGCGCGTCGGCCGCGCTCGCATGTCGAACTCATTCTATAACCTTCATCACCGAAGCGAGGACGCCGTCATCGTCGTCGGCGTGATCAGCATCGGCGCCGTCATCGGCCATGCCGTCGTCGTTGACACCATCGTCATCAGCGTCGCAACTACCATGATCGTGTATATTGTCGTCGACGTTGCCATGGTGCCGCGCCCGCCCGAGTCGCCGACTCGCGCTGAAGAGCCCGATGGGAAGTGCCCAGGGGTCAGCGCCACCGCGCCAATCCATCTGGCCGCTGCGCGCGCGAGCATTCGCGGGCTAGCGCGGCCGCAGAGACGCACCAGGCAACGCCGAGCTTTCATCGCAATCGCCGCCGCATGGGTTCAATAAGCCAAGTTCCGGGTGTGTGGGATGTTTGCGCGAGCAGTGGAGTTGACAATTTCAAGTTCGACTGGGTGAATTGCTCCACGTAGATTGCGCCACACAGGTTGCACAGCATGTTTTGCAAATCGTAGATTGCACAGCAGATGGTTCAACTAGATGTTCCTTCCGACGAGAGTTTTAGGATCCCCCCTCCCTGGAATGAACGGCTCACCTTTGCGTTTTGCAATTTACATATGATTCTGCCCCGTCGTCCATCCTAAAGATGAGCCCAGACACTCCCAGGCAGGCCTGTACCCCCCCTTCCATCCGATGCTAAAGCCTCTGCGCGCGCATTCGTTGATCAAAACTCATAGAAGTTTCAATAATCCCTTGCGCAAAACGGGGCGAAGTGCACATGCGCGCGTAGTCGCGCGCGCATGACGGAATCTTTGAAGAAACTGATGTCCCACAAGGACTTCAAAACTGAGTGCCCCAAACGCATGTAAAAAATTCTGGTTTACCAACCCGCGTTTTCAACACAAGAACTGCGCTCGCGCTCGTGCAGTGTCTTCAGACAACCATCAGTTGTTCAATTTGTTAATCAAATGCTACCAAACGTGTTTCTCACGTGCGCGTGCCGACGTCGTTATGACGCCCTTTGCGCGCGTGTTGTCGCAAGAACCACTTGCAAAGCACGGGACGAAGTGCTCACGCCCGCGTCGTCGCGCACGCATGTGGGGGTCATTCAAAACCTTAGGTGCCGCAAGGCATTCAAAATCGAATGCATCGAAATCACGTGAAAAACGCATGAATGTGCAGATTCAGTGTTCAAAAGTGCCGCGTTCGCACTTGTGTGAATTCTTAAGACACCATCGGTTTTTTAATGATCATACACTTTCTGCCGCATGGGCTTTTCGCGCCACACGTCGAAATTATTCGAACGACCTTGCGCGCGTGCTGTGGGGGCGCGATCCGTGTCAACAAATACCATGCGGGCCACTCGCGCATGTCGAACTCCTTCCAAAAGCTTCATCGCCGACGCGAGGGCGCCGTCATCGTCGCCGGCGTGATCAGCATCGGCGCCATTACTGGCCTTGCCGTCACTATTGTCACACTCGTCAGCAGCATCGCTACCATCATCATCCCGTCTAGCATTGTCGACGTTGCCATGATGCCGCGCCCGCCCGAGTCGCCGAAGTGCACGCTGGGAGGTGCCCGGGGATCAGCGCCACCGCGGCCGCGTCGGTAGCGCCAGTCCATCTGGCCGTTGCGCGCGTG